AGACGACACAGGGTGGTCGTTTGGTTGGTTATGGCGACGTGGGTATGGCTGGGTGTGTCGCCGGCTGGAGGCGTCGCTGGACTGGGGATGGTGAAACAGCAGTGGTCGTGGTTTTCCGGTAGTGTTCGATGGTGGATGACAGTATGGGACGATGAGGCTGGTGGACTGTTTGGTCGACGGGCTAGACGCGATGGAGGGAGCCGGGCAGCAGCCACAGCAATGGATATTTCACTGGTTGTTCACGATAGGAAGGTGAGCTGGTGGCGGGGAGCTGGTCGNGCGATGGAGGGAGCTGGTAGCGGGCAGCAACGGTCGAGGAGAGGAGCTGGGCAGCAGCCGCCGCAATGGTGGTTTCACTGGTTGTCCATGGCTGCTGGACGATAGGGAGGTGTGTGGTGGTGCGCGAGGATGGAGTTTCGAAGGGGTGGCGATGGTTATGGTGTGAGGGTTTTCAGTCGTGTTTCATCTTTTTCAAAGATGAAGAAGATGAACAGTCAGTGGGTTCCTTTCCAATTTTTCTTTTTCAAAATCCACCCCTCTCACACGTTTTTTGGTCCCTCCTCCCTTTTTTTGTTTTCTCTGCTTGTGGAAAGAAATCCCCCCAACCAATCTTTTTTTCCTCTTCTTTTGTTCTATCCGTGTGTTTTGTATCTTGTTCAAAAAACATGGACCTCACGTGTGTAGGGGTCCAAGACTTGTGTCCCCCATGCGCGGTGGGGTTCCCCGTGTGGTGTTCCGTCCGTGTTCCCCACGCGTATCCCCCATGTGTGGTGGGCTCGGATTATTACGGGCTAGGTCCGAAAATTATGCCTAAAAACGGGTAGTTTGAACCCAAATATTATTCTTTGCCCAGACCCGAGAATAAAAATACGATGTTATTCAATTAATCCTATGCAAGCAAAATAACTACCAAAATAAGACTAACATTTAAAACAAAACAATTTCTTTTTTTTTTAGTATTTTTTTTCAAGATTAAAATAGCTACAAAGCATAAATAAAACTATTTGTGTCATTTTCGTTTTTATATAAAGATAAAATATAAAGTACTATTTTTTGTATTTTTCAAGATTAAAATGGCTACAAAACGTTAATAACTTTTTTTTTGTAATTTTCGAAATTATACAACGATAAAAACATAAAGTACTATTTTTATATTTTTTTAAGTTTAAAATGACTACAAAACATTAATAAAACTATATTTTTTTATAATTTTCGAAATTATATAAAGTACAAAAATAAGGTACTATTTTTTTTGTATTTTTTCAAGTTTATGAGAAATACATAAGCTAAAATTTATATATATATTTTTTGTAATTTTTCTTTTGCGATGAAATAAAGTAAAATAGTCAGAATAGCTATATTAGACCCAATTTAAATATTCATGCTAAAAATGTGAAAATTCCCGGGAAGGGTCAAAAATCACACGTCTACAGCTGCCCCTCTTTGACTGGAAACACGAAGAGTTTTCCGACAAAGAATGACTAGACATGTTTTTGACCCAACCATTATTTGGAGGGACTACACTAAGGAAAGGAAGGGAATGTGACCGAGCCCTGGTTTCTGAGCTGCCTACATATCCTTGGTTATAAAGGAATCAGGCCATGTGTAGTTCGGAAATGAGAGAGATGGTAGAGTGTACCGAGGTGAAGAGCCGATCGAGGTTCCATTCCGTTGAGGTTCCGGTCCGCGGTCCTGTCATTACATCAAAAGTGAAAAATGAGAAAGACTAACTAAGCCTATCAGCTATTACTTACAAGGATTCCTATCTATAAGTCTTCTGAAACTTGGTCTCGAATCTTGAATGGTGCTTCATGTAGACTTTGGATTTGAACCTTGAAACTTACTAGTTGTAGGCGCTAGTTCATCCTTCTTCAGCTTTAAAATATAACAACCTTCGTTCTACAGGCGGGCTCCTGACTTCAATCGCAACTTGAATTTAACGACCTCCGTTCTACAGGCGGGCTCCTGACTTCAACAGCAACTTGAATTTAACAACCTCCGTTCTACAGGCGGGCTCCTGACTTCATCAACAACTTTGAAAATAAATCGCCATTCCTCTCTTCAGGCGGGCTCCTGACTTCGACGCTTGAAATGCAAATACTGAAATGTATTCCTCTGTTATATGGGCGGGCTCCCAACTTCAACACTTGAAATGCAAAGACTGAGATGTATTCCTCTGTTCTCCAGGCGGGCTCCTGCAACCAAAAAGAACAAACGAAATTTTGGCCCCAGTTTGCAGTAGGAACATTGGTGAGTTGTTAGCCAAATTGTAAACCATTTCTACTATCGATGCAATGATGAGAGTAAACTGGGACTAGATTAGGATGTGCGTCTCCTACGGGTAAAACCGAAAAACTCTGACTAGAAGATGCGTCTGCTAACATAAACCTGAATGAACCAAACTTAGGAAGTGCGTCTCCTAGAGATGAATTCAAATGGTCAAGACTAGGAAGTGTGTTCCCTAAGGGTGAAAAACTTTAGTGACTAAAACTAGGAAGTGTGTCTCCTATGAATAAAATCTCAGTTCAGGAAGTGCGTCTCCCGAAAGAATAACTTGAAAGACCTTGATTAGGAAGTGCGTCTCCTACAGGTAAAATCTCAATGACTCAAACTAGGAAGTGCGTCTCCTATGAATGAAATCTTAGTTCAGGAAGGGCGTCTCCTGAAAGAATAACTTGAAGGACCTTGATTGGGAAGTGCGTCTCCTCCAGGTAAAACTTTCAATGAGCCAGACTAGGAAGTGCGTCTCCTATGGTCGAACTTTAAAATGAATCAAGCTAGGAAGTGCATCTCCTAAGGGTGAAATCCCAAATCCGGAAGTGTGTCTCCTAAAATAAAATATAACCTGAAAAAGCCAGACTAGGAAGTACGTTTCTTATGGGTGAATTTAAATTTAGGAAGTGCGTCTCCTAGGACTGAACTATTGATTTAGGAAGTGTGTCTCCTATAGTAAAAATAAACTAGGAAGTGTGTCTCCTAGGGGTAAAATAAATTCAGGAAGTGCGTCTCCTAGGGGTGAAATTTTAATGATTTTAAACTAGGAAGTGCGTCTCCTATTAATGAAAATAACTTAGGAAGTGCATCTCCTATGCATGAAATAAACTTAGGAAGTGCGTCTCATAGGGGAAAACTTAAACTTAGGAAGTGCGTCTCCTATGGGTGAAACTTTAATGATTTTGAACTAGGAAGTACGTCTCCTATGAATGAAAATAATTTAGGAAGTGCGTCTCCTATGAATGAAAATAATTTAGGAAGTGCGTCTCCTATGAATGAAAATAATTTAGGAAGTGCGTCTCCTATGCATGAAATCTTAATTTAAGAAGTGCGTCTCTAATGGGGTAAAAGTAAACTTAGGAAGTGTGTCTCCTATGGGCAAAACTAAACTTAGGAAGTGCGTCTCCTATTGGCAAAACTAAACTTAGGAAGTGCGTCTCCTATTGGTAAAACTAAACTTAGGAAGTGCGTCTCCTATTGGTAAAACTAAACTTAGGAAGTGCGTCTCCTATTGGTAAAACTAAACTTAGGAAGTGCGTCTCCTATTGGTAAAACTAAACTTAGGAAGTGCGTCTCCTATTGGTAAAACTAAACTTAGGAAGTGCGTCTCCTATTGGTAAAACTAAACTTAGGAAGTGCGTCTCCTATTGGTAAAACTAAACTTAGGAAGTGCGTCTCCTATTGGTAAAACTAAACTTAGGAAGTGCGTCTCCTATTGGTAAAACTAAACTTAGGAAGTGCGTCTCCTATTGGTAAAACTAAACTTAGGAAGTGCGTCTCCTATTGGTAAAACTA